TTGGAAATATTACACGTGTCAAACATCTACTACTCCCTCTGTGTGATGACTCTTTGGAGGTTTTAATAATCTTTTCTTATGTCTCATTGTCGGAAAAGTCTTTTTTCATCAATACTTCATATTGAGTTTAAATGTATTTCTCTTTCTTTAGAATGGCTAATGAAAGAGGCCTGAACTGATCACAATATTCTTCCGTTGTGTAATCTGTATGTACTCTTCCTGTACCCCCATTTTATATTTTCTGAGACCTTGATTCAGTTTGAAGGACACCAAAATCTCAAAATTAAAATTCTTTGTTGCAGACTATCGATTATCTGGATATTGAAAAATATCTGGAAATAAAAAATCAACGGACTGTTTGTTTTAATGTAGATATTTGGTGTGCTGTAATCATAGTCTTCTTTCATCTTTTTTCTGTGTTGAATTTAACTTGTGACTAAGTCCACTGACTTGGTAGTGTTTAAAAACAAAACAAAACAATATTCCCTGACCTTGAGCAGTACTGCCTGTAAGGTATTTACTGGCAAGCAACCAAAAGAGCAGCTGACCTTTACGTAGCACATACTATGTGCTGGACACCCTGCCCTGTGCCTCACATGCACTATGCCATTTAATTCTCACAACAGCACAATGACTAGGTTACTATTATTATCCCTACTTTTACAAATGAGGAAACAGAGAGGTTAAGTAGCTTTCCCAGGTTCATGTTACCAAGGAAAATGGTGGAGCCCAGTTTCTAAGCCAGATGGCCTTGGCTGGAGATTGAGCTCTTAACCACTATGGCCCCTCTTGCACAAGAGGTACACATGTGGAAAAAAATACAAAACCTAGAAAACAACTCAAGGCATTAAAATAAGGTCACTGTAGAATCGGGCTGACAGCAGAAGGCTTCAGGGAGAAGACTGAGCAAGGCATCAGAGCAACGTGAGATTTATCTGGTAAATCTGAGAAAAATGGAGGCATCACAAGATTGGCCGAGGCTTACTGCGTGGGGAAAAAAACAGGATCAGCCTAAAAGAAGGATGAGGTTGGGTAATTTTTGGTAGAATCTTATTTACTCTGATCCCCTCATTTCTTTTTTTCTGTTTTTCCTTAAGAATAAAACAAAATGCAAATACCTACTATAAGATCATAGAGCACCCAGATATGCATCAAACAGAAACACCAATGTATACAGTTAAGGTAAATAGTACATTTAGTTACTGAGTTTCCTACCTGGTGTACAACTGGCCTCATCATATTGTATCTGATAATCTTCCTTACCTGAATTTTAATCAAGCTGTTTGAATTGTGTTAATAGTTACTCCTTATTTTAATTAAATGAGAAGATTTTGTCCGTTTCCCAATCTTACTGCTGAATCCTGGAAGTCTATAACAGATATATGGCAAAGATGTTATAGTACAGGAAGTCCAAACTTATCAATGGGCTGGGTCGCCAAACTTTTGAGACGGAAGGGCCACCATGGGTCAGCAAACTGCAGCTCACGAGCCACATGCAGCTTTTTGTTGGGTACGTACATGTGGCTCTGAAGTAAAATTGAAAATGAAAATAAAACTATCAGTTTCATTTATAAAATTTTAAAAGGATATTATTCACATAATTATGATTATGTAAAAATATATTTATGGCTCTCAAATAATTTTTAAATTGTTGTGAGGGACAGCATTGGCTCTTCCAGGGGTCAGCAAACTTTTGAGACAGAATGCACCCAGAGAGCCGCATGTGGCTCATGAGCCCCAGTTTGCCAACTCCTGTTCCAGAACATCACTGCAAATTAGTTGTTTGGAACCTTGAATTTATTTTCCTGTGGAAATTAGTGGTTCAGTTCCCAGCGGGTCCACAAAAGCTTGCTTTAACCAGGAATGTGTACAGAAACGAACAGTCACCTTTGTGTTGATCTTGGCCTATTATTCTGAGGACTCTTATGTATTTCTCTTCTTACTACAATGTTTTAGCTAACCACCAATTTTGGGACACAGTTTTTTCATTATAAATTATAGAAAAGGCTGACTATCAATTCTAATTCTACCCAAGTCCAATCGTTACCACTGTTTTTGGCTGTTTCTTTTTACTAATCATTACTTAAACTACGGCTTCAGTTGCAGAGTTGTTTTTCTTAGCCTGAGGTGAGGAGCCTTGAGAATGGCCCAAGAATGCTCACAGCCTAGGCTATGACATCATTCTCTGCCTGCAGCATGAAGGCAGTGAAATGGCACTAGGGACACATCTTGCTCCTGCTGCTGCCAGTAACCATCTGGTTCCCAGAGGATATCTTTTGGCCCTTGTGGGGATTTTAAAAAAAAACCACAACAAAAAACTTTCTTGGTTTCTGGCTTGACATCAGGTAGAAGTTCCCAGATCTCAATGCTCCTGGGTTAGGCATGAGAACTTGGGATAGATTTACCTGATCATGTGTTTTGACTACAGTTGCATCTATATTACAGAAATTTCATACTTAAATAATCTAAAGCTACGATGTGGATGTCTGCCAAATACAACACTTGTCTCAGAAACATTTCCTTGCAGGGCACAGTAACCACAATAAAACCAAAATCTTTGCTTTAGTTATAAACATTACCAACAAATGTTTCCAAAACAGAAATGCTTAGAGTGAAAAAAATTGTGTCTATGGCCATCATAATAGTGTGTTTTTTAAAACTTTTAGGCTACATCTACCTTTTCACCTCCTTGGGAGTTTTTACACTAGCTAAAGATTCTGGTATGACTTTAGAAATGTTAGAAAAAACATTTGTAAGATTGGGGAAGGTTTATATTCACACCTCTACCCCTCCAAAACAAAACAAAAAACACACACAAAAAACCTCCCACTAAATTTGTATAACCATGTCTGCTGTCAGTGTCTTTTTAAACACTTGGCGATTCTGTCAGCACACATTTGCTAATAAAGGCAAGGCTTTATTGCTTAAAGACATATATTAAACATGCATAAATCTTTCACTTTAAGTCCACACAATCTATAATAATAGAATGAGACCTTTTAAGGATATAGGTGTTATTTTCTTAATAACTTCACTATAGAATTCTCAATAAGGTGGTTAATTTTTACAAAATTAAAATCATTAATACCAAAAGGCACATCAATTAAAGATTCTAATAGTAAAAATATTAAGGTAAGAGTTTCCTATTTCAACTAAAGGCCAAACAAGCTACTTGGGAAAGTAAGGCATAATAACAGAATAAAAGACACTGCTTCAAGTATCACACAGGTAAAACTCTGAAATTCACGGCTGTAGGTCACTGTCATCGGCTGACTAGATCTTTTAAAAAATAGCGTAAGTTTCCAACTGTAGGTAACATTTCTAATTATTCTAGTGCTTACCAACATATATGGTTCCTTTTCAGGATAAGGAAGGAAGTCTCTCTTAATCACAGTGCATTTCAATTGACAAATATATATTTTTGTATTCCTCAAAACAATGGATAGACTTAGGTACTAGACTTTACGAAGGTGAAAAAGCCACTGGTTGCCACTAATGACTGAAGAGGGCTCCAACTGCTGGCTACTCACTTTGTTTTTGGCAAAGAGCATATGGCAGGAACTCAGCATTTTCAGACACAGCAAAGAACTGTGGTAGGAACCTCAGAAAATCTGCAGCAGGAAAATTTGGAATCTTATTGGAAAGCTATAGGGCCAAGTAGATCTACACTCCTTGAAAGTAAAGACAGTTATCCCAACTGTGTTTCAAAGATGGGAAAAAAAAGCGAAAGGAGGAAAGAAAGAAAAGAACAGTAATACTTTTTAGAGCTCTTGGGGGAATTAAATGAGAGCACATACATAAGTGTCCAGTTTGGTTACCAAGATGTATTAGGTGCTCAATAATGTTAGCTAAATTTAAGTACTGGCAATTTTATTGGGAAAACTTAGGGTTATTTGAGGTTATGTCAGTTTTGTTAGCACCTGCAGCTTCAAGAAATTATAGATACATAGCACCTGAAATAAGTTCCATTATCAACTGAGATAAACACTGACCAATCAAATTCTCCAATTTTGCAAATGTAGTCGAGTTTCTTTCTTGGTTTGGCTATAATTCCCTGAGTTTGGGCTACTTAGCTCAGTTGGTTGGTGGTTAAACATCATAGATGATAGCCATGTACAAGTCAAGCTTTATAAAGAGAAAGACATCGAAATGCTAAGATTATACACCATATCCTTATGCCCAGACACACATCATGCAAACAAGTTTATTGGTCATCACAAAAGAGGGATTGCATAAAAGGGTTCAGTCAGCAAGCATATCTTAATTTCCTGAAAAATTCAAAGCATATCTATAAAGTAATGTCAGATGTAAGGAACAAGTTTTTCAAAAACACGTTTTTCAAGTCCGCTACATTACAGGAAGTAATTTCCTTGTTATGACTAACGTGTTTGATCTCCAAATGTTTTTAAAAAAAATTGTAATAAAACACAACTTCACAACTAAAATTTCTAAGATGATAAGAATCAATTAATTTTATTTTAATTACTTTATATTTTTCTACCCAAGAGAGAAAAAAACAACAAAACAGAACTTAGACTATTTAGGTAGTGTATTCCAATTTAGATGATAAAAAATGGGGGTGAGACTATGCTATACACTTGAAACTAATATAAAATAATATTGAATGTCAACTCTAATTGAAAATTTTAAAAAGGGGGGAAAAGATCAATAATATTGAGATAGTGTGGTATGGTATCAGATGGTTGCTGGACTTATGGTGATCACTTCTTTAGTATAGGGAATAAAATCAATAATGTGGTAATAACACTGTATAGTGCTAGGCAGGTACTGCTGAATAACTACGATGTACACCTGAAACTAATGTAATATTGTATGTTGGCTGTATTTTAATAAAAAAAATCTTAAAAAAAACACCTTAAGAATAAAACAAGTCTTGGGGATATAATACACAGCATTGGATATATAGTCAATAATATTGTGATAGCGTGGTACAGATGGTAATCACTTCTTTAGGTATATAGATGTTGAACAACTATGTTGTACACCTGAAACTGATATAATGTTGTCGGCTAGCTATATTTTTAAATAAAAATCTAAAAAAGAAAAAAATGGGGTCAGCAGGTCAGCATGAAAATAATATGTGAACTCATAACATAATGGGAATTTCTAAATTTGGAAGTTCAAAAATTAACATTTTGAAGTAGAGCCATCAGTTATTTTCAAAATGCTTTGTAACAAATTTTAAATGGAAGAAATTAAATATTCCACTGATTCAAGGCACTAATATTACAAATTAATTCCCACTAGGTTAGCCAACATGTGTCAGGAAAATAATTTTGTAAGATTCAATTCATCATTCCCTGTAGGACACACAAAAGGATCCTCGGGTCATGTTCTAGTATTCTTCTCTTTCTCACAAAAGTAGGAAAACATCTCTGCAATTTATTCTCCTTTAATAAGAGTTCTATGGGAATTGTTGCAATTGGGCAGCACCTTCTTCTCTCTCACTTCTCTGCTACCTCAGCATTGTGTAACTTTGATTCCATTTATCTAAGCTTTCCTCATTAAAAAAAGACTGATGACAGCCACTGCAATATATTAAAAGTAATTTATACAGGCTGGCAGCACACTGGAAGTTCTGAACCAACAACATTTCAACTGGAACAAAAAGACACATTTCTCAATTCTGTGACACAGCAGAAAGTGGACAGCAACATGAGTAATGCACCAAAGATCCAGACCTTAAAAAAATCTAAATAAATACAAAAATTAAATACCTGGATATAATAAATTCTTATAAGCCATTCTAATTAAAATCTAAAGCTGTCCTTAAAATCTATTTCCAGTTTCACAGTAACCTTTCTTCATGGGCAGACCATAACAGAATTTAGAATTATTTCCAGAAACGTGGTCAGTGATACTTAAATTGTATTTAACCCCCAGTGATCTCTGCCTTTATTTGCGCTGTGAAAAATAATCAGCTCTATCATGCCTTTCCGGACAGTCAGTAGGTTTTATTTACATTGTTTTGAGAAAAGGAGACAAAAGACATCCCTTTACAATTGTCTTTCAGCAATCTCAGTCTTGAGCAGACTAGGTAACAAGATTTTATATATAAGGAAACATAAATATCTATATACACCAAAACAGACATAAATACACAAATAAAGATGAAGTAGCTTATAAAGTCTCTTGAAGCACAAATGTATGAACTGACCACCAGACACAGAACTTAGATCTATAATGAGAAAAAAAAATCAGTATGAGCCTGAAAAAAAATTAAAATATCACTGTCACGAACATGGAAAAAAATAAATAAGAAAATAGAAAACAATAATCACCGGAAAACCTGGGTCCTGTAAAGATTTCTTTTCCATCAGAAGATGCAGAAACATTTTTTTCCCCCTGGTGCAAATGAAAACGTTTAAGCATCCCCAGTTTCTTGCCCGCTTTTTCCCTCAGGCGCCGGTGTAGACGGCCGGTGTGGACTTTTTTCCAAAGATGAGAAGTAGAAATTTGTACTTTATCGGGAGCGGGTGCACTTTTCCCCCCGGCCCCCCTTTCCTCTGCCTCCAAGATGGTAGGAAAGTTGTCGTTTCGGAGGGCAGAGGAGCGGCTCTCTGGTGTTATGTCCTCGCAGTGCCTGTAGTGGTGCTGTAGGAGGCTGCTGCCTCTTCTTGTGCAGCCCCGGCAGCCCTGCCTTCTTGGCTGGAGAGTATATTCAGGGATTTCCCCTTAATAATCACCGACCCTGGGAGCACTTTTTAGTTTCCAAAATAAAAATATGATCCTCACCCCTCTTGCTTGACAGGGAAAGGCTCTCTCCGGAGCCCAGGGGGGAGCAGTAGCAGCGGCAGCCGAGCTTCCTAGTCCATTGCCAGCGCCTCTCACTCTGATCTGTCAGCCCAGCCGAGGGAAAAGGGGGGAAGGAGAAAAAAAAAAAACCAGCTGAAAGGTAAGCAGAGGCGGCCCCAGGCCCGGCCCACATCCCCGGGCTGCCGTAGGGCGGCGGGCTGGGCCGCGTAGTCAGGGCGGGCGGCGAGCCCGCTTACGTGAGGCCGGGGATTCGCCGGCCCGCGCCAGGCCCCGGACAGAGAATGAAAGGGTGAGAGGGGCCGGCGCCGGGGTGGCGGGGCCTTGGGACCTGGGGGCCTCGGGGGCGCCCGCGGGCGGCGACGGCGGGCGGGCGGACGCGGGTCCAGCCGGGGCCGGAGCAGGAAGAGCGGCGCGGCCTGCGGGCCGGGGTTGGGGGTGTGGGGCGGGGCCCCGCGGCGACCGCGCCCTGCCCCCGCTCTCGGGCCTCCCCGCGCCCCTTCGGGTCCCCGGGGGCTTCCGGGCCAGACGGCGTCGTTGCGGGGTTGAATGCTGCGCGGGCCGGGAGGCTCCCCCGTGGGGCGGCAGGCCCGGGTTGCCGGGACAGGGGCGTCAGGGCCTAGGAGTGGGGAACGGGCGCCCACTCGCCCCTTCTCTCTGGTCTCTCGCAGACGCCCCCCTCCCCCATTCCGGTAATAAATTTATTTATCCCCCCTCCTCTGCGCTCCGGTCGGCCTGGCTGGGGCGGGGCAGGCGGCCTGGCGGGCGTGGGGTGGGGTGGTGGGGCGGTGAGGAGTCAGGTGCAGCCGCGGCCCGGAAAGTTTCCTTTTAGGCCCGAATGGGGGGCTGCCCTCCTTTTGGGGCACCCCGGTGCTAGCGCTCGCGACCCCCGAGGGCGTTGGGGAGAGCACTCGGCTATTTGGAAACTCTTTGGCAGTTCCCGTCCATTGAAGGTACTCCGCTCCTGCACCCCTCGCCCGCGCCCCACCCCACCCCCCGGCGAGCCCTTCCTGGGCTGCGAACTCCAGGCCGGTGCCCAGGAGCCCCCAGGCTGGGGAGAGGGCCTTCCCTTCCCGTTCGGAAAACTTTCCCGGGGATTTTTCTTCGCTTATTAGTTAGTGACTGGGCTTTTTGCGGTGGGAAGGGAGGAGGTAAATTCAGGTGGTATTTCTCCTGGGCAGGCTTTTCCTCAGTCGCCTTTTTAGCCCTTCCCCTAGAAGCTGGGAGTGTGAGTTTCAAATCGAGCACCCCCAGCCCCGCACCCCCACCCCGTCCTTGCAATCCCGGACTCCTCTGGGTCTCCAGCCCCCTTTTCAGGACTGCCCCCTGCAGGGGGCAAGCTGGAGGGAGCGGCGAGGAGGCTGTCAGGGAGAGGGGGCTGGGTTTCCGGAGCAGCCCCCACATGGAGGAGTTGCCTGCCCTGTTGGGTCCCTGTCCGATTGAAACAGACGCAGGAACCGAACCCGAGAGGGAGGCTCCGGTTGTCAGAACGCTCGGAAGCATTAAAAATTAGGCGAGAGAGGAGGAGGTGGGCAGGGCAGCTCCTGAAACAAGGTCTACGGTGTAAGGATCAGTAGCTGATTTATTCTGATCATAACTATTTGGATTGATGTGGTAGCTTGGATTCCACCCTAGAAATAGGAAAAAAAAAGGGGGGGGGGTTTAAGGAAATCTGTTATTGCTGCCGACTCCGAAGGGTCTGTGGAAGAGCCCTCAGAGAACTGAACATAGCTGACACTGTGTGGTTTGAGTTCTTTTTTTTTTTTTTCTTTCTATGTTTAAACGGATTCAATGTTAGCTATATTTTGGTGCCATGAGCTTTGCAAGTTTTTTTTTTTAAAGTTGAAAACTTAAATTTCCAAATCTAGACATCCTGGTTTTCAGGGATGGGATGTTTCCTGTGGCTGCACTCAGCCTCCTTTCTGGTTCTTGAATATGGAAGTGGGGATGTTAATACACCCTGCCCCACGCTGCCAGCCTGGGTGTGGGCATGCTTGGAGAGGTTATTTCGCCTCGTGTATTTGTCCTCCCCGCCTTCTTTTTTTAGTGGACCCGGGGCTGTGTGTTGTGTGTAGACGTATGTGTGTCCTGCCTGGTGGCAGGCTGGAGTTCGCTGGCAGAGGTGTCCCACATTCTGAGCCCTCAGCCCCCAGAGCACTCTTACCCAGTGAAAGGCTGGCACTTCGCAGCGCCATTGGGAACCCATGGCTTGGTCAGGGCTGACTTCTGTCAGACGTGGAAGTGAGACTCCTTCTGTGACTCTTAACAAGTGTGTCTTTTTGTCTGCCTGAAATAAAACTTCTGTTTCTCCACAGTGATAGATATCCAGCCGTTTAGCATTGTACTGAAGAAAAAAGCTTGATATTTCAGGTTGTATGGACTTCATAGAAAAATGCAAATTACATTTTACTTTATTGATGAATTGAAATTGCTTATTGACTTGGGAGTTCTTTAGCTTATATACTTGTGTACCCAAAATTGTTACCTCTATTGTCCTTATTTTTTAGAGCATATTGGTGGGAAGAAACAATTCCATGGTTTCTTTTTGTTTTTCTTTAGGACATTTTAAGTTTTTTTTTTTAAAAAATCCCTTTGCCTCATAATTTGATATTTTTAAGGTGTAGTGTCGACTTCACATTTCTAAGCTTTCAAAAACTTGTATATGTACAAATACCAAAACTTTTGTACTTTTTCCACCCTGTCCCAAACATCTATTAAATTTACTAATCCAGCCGCCTCAAGGGCTACTTTATTTCTGAAGGAATGGCGGGTTTGACATTTTTAAAAGTTACATTTTATTTGCAACTAATAAAAGACAAATATGAAGGGTAAATATTGAATTAGTTTAAAATTGCTATCGTTGTATACTTTTTCACTCTTAACTATTTAGTTTCAAAAATAGATGTTTGTTTTCATTTACAAGTCCAAAATAATGGTTTTCTTTCCTCTGAAAGATTGTACAATGGAATTTATATACCCCACCCCAACTATTTTTCTCAGCAAATCGTATCACTATTGTTTTTAGAGAAATGAAATTTTAGTTTAGATGGATTTTAAAATTTCTAAGTCAGAGCATCCAAAATTAAACAAGTCATTTAAAAAAAAAATGCTGATCCATTCATTCTTATCTGAGCTGTTCCCCGGGGGTTAGCAGCTCTCACTATCCAGGTTTGGAACAATAGTATGGATAATGAGAGGCCATTTATATCTGAATACAGTTAGCAGTATTCTCAGACATGAAACACCCTGTCTCCACACACACTTGGTAACTTGTAAGCAATAGGTGGATAGGTGAGACTGGGTTGGAGGCAGCAAATTGTCCCCAAAGCAGATACTCCACTGCATATACAATGGAGTCACATCCACGTCCATTTAATTTATGCTAATGTAACTCTGTCCCACAGCCCTGACAGTAATGCTGATTTTAGACAGTACTTCTGGCTATTTTGAGACACTTGCAAAGATACTCTCACTAAAGTTTAAGTTAAAACCTTAGGCCTCTCTCTTTTCCCTCCTTGCACTTAAGATGCTAGGCTACTTGGTTCTGATTCTTTCCAAGAATGTGATTTAAGACAGCTTTTCAGTTAAATTTTATTTATCCTACACAAATTTGGCTGGGCTTGGACACTCATCCCAGCTCTTCTGCTGGATGGGGTATTCCACCTTTGGTTTCTGTATCTGTAAAATGGAAATAACATTTTTTTGAGGTAAGCATTAGATGAGATAGCTCATGTGCTTGGCTCTTAGTAGGTGTTCCTCAAATATTAATTCCCCTAGCCCACCTTACCTTTCTGTTAGCTCCATCTAAATACCATTCTCCTATTTGCTTTTTCTTTTTCTGACTAAAAGTAATACATGCTCATATTCATCCCATTCAGACCTACCTGTCCCGCTTGGGAGATAACCATTGTTAACCTTTTTCTGTCTGTTTTTTGTGATTGTGTGCAACATAAACATCATCTTAGGATTTTCCAATTAACAATGTTGTGTAGATTTTTGTTGGTTAAAAGCTTGGGCTCAGAAGTCAAACAGGCCTTGAATCCTACCTATGTGGCTTGGACAAATTACTGAATCTCATTCTCAGTTTCTTCATCTGTGAAAGAGTGTGATAATACCTTCCTCATAGGGTTGCTGTGATGATTAAATGAGGAATTGCACATAAAGCCTTTAGAATGGTCCCTGGTAATGACCTTTAGATAATGTTTTCCTCTGAAGATTTTTAATACTTCTCGATGTGAATTTTTTCAGTGTGACTGAGTTCTTGACTCAGTACATGCTAATAATACTAGTGAGTAATTGAGTACAGATAGACTGTTATAATTACGTTCATGGGGCAAGTAAATATTTTTGTGCCAGTAAAAAATCAGAAGATATTCATAGAAAGTTTCAGCAGCTTGATGGTAGTCTAGTCTTTGCTGTTGAATTCTGAGTTGGCAAATGTAAATGTGTGCTAAGTATACCAGTGGGCAAAGGTGGATTTACTTTCCCTCTAGCTCCTTTTAAATTCCTGAAGTTCGTGTTCTCTCTCAGTCTCCCCCCCACTCCCCCACCCCCCTCACTTGAAAGCACTGAATAGTTCTGAATAGTTTGTGGCTTTGGTGGTTTCACCTTGGGGGTGGGGGGAATGTTTACCTGAGGTGATGGTAGGAGTTGCTGAAGCCGGTGCTGTTTCTCATTCATTTAACAGTAGCTGTGAGCCTTGTAATACAAAGACCCATTCTCTGCCCTTTGAGAAGTTTTTAGTATAGTGAAGAAGAAAAGAAACCTGACATTTACAATTCTGAATGATAAGGGATATATTTGCCTGGAGGAAGGAAACCTATTTATCCTGGCCTAGGAGAGCAAACCTTTAAAAGTGAGGATTTTCCAGGGATGTTTCTGCCCTAAGCAAATGGGAGGAGTTAGGCATTCAGGGAGGTCAGCCTTGCAAACATGAATAAATGCCTAAGGACACAGGAGTATTCTGTGTTGCAAATTGTAGGAGTTGTAGCAATAGAAATAGTGGGGAGAGGGGAAGTCAGTCTGGCCAGGTCCTAAGGAGTTTGTGAGTTATATTAGGCTAGGAGTTTAGACTCCTGTTACATTTATAAGCAGACCCTGAGGCCTTGGCCAAATAATTGGCATTGTAGAGGACTGAGAACTTGAGTTGTACAAAGAATGTTATAAAGGAGGGCAACCCTGGGATTAGACCAGTGAGACAGCTGCTGAGAAGAGGCTGAAGGTTTGAACTAAGGTGGTGGCAATGGCAGTGGAGATACAGTTGGAAAGAAGTGGAGAGTCTGCTAATTGAGG